ATTTTGGGTTCGTGGACTTGCTTGTTACCCCTTTTTAGCCTTTTTTTGAAGTCTGAGTGTTACACGAATGATGCAAATTTTAAGAGTAGAGTTGCGAGGTGTTATAGAATGATTCGAATCTTAGCTTATAAATTTTTGGGGTGTTACAAAGGCGTCCCCTTCTTATTTTCATATTTGAAAAATAAACTGTGCTCATTTTAATTTAGGAAAACTTTCAAAAATAGCAAACATTAGGTCTTAAATAGGACTCCTTAGCTACAATTTTGCTAATTACAATTCGCATCTGTATTTTTGTACTCTACGAATGGGAAAAGACAAAACAAACCCCAATTTAAAAGCTATCAAAAACCTCCCACATGGACATCTATGGTTTGTGGTTTGATCTACAGATCATAGATCCTATTTGTGAAATCCATATTGAAATTTTAAGGCTCAGAAGTTCATTCTACGGGACCAAACTACGATCGTAAAAATTTCTACGACCCGTAGATGGGTCCATAAGATTTGGACCAAAAAAATTGACTTCCAGAACTTTTTCCATGAGTCAACTGTACGGCTCGTAGCTCTTTCTATGACTCAGAGAAATGGTTCGTAAGTCACTGACTTAGAAAACTTTGTTGTTGTAGTCTCTGGTAAACGGTCATAACTTTTTATTCTGAACTCGAAATGACGTAAACCTAGTGGAGTTGGAAAGAGGACGCATATACCTTTTATTTGATAGGTTATGAGCCACCCAATTCATTATATGCTAAGAAATATGATCATTTGAAATTGACCTAAGTAGAATCTTATATCAAAACTCAATCGATAAGTAAGCTTTCTACTCAACTTTGTGCTAGAGGATTTTTGTGACCTTAATTCGTCTCCAAATCTATTCCCACATTAAATAATTGACCTTAAGACCTAAGAGAAATTTAAGAATCACCCAATACGATCTTATACACAAATGAAGAATGATTCGGGTCTTACCTTAGAAATTTTCTGGATGTTACAATTGTGTGGTTGGAAATCATTTCATTAAAGTTATAAAAAGAATTGAAATTAAATTGTTTCTAATTAAAATAAGATACTCCATCTGTTTAAAAAAGAATGGTCTAGCTTCTTTTTTAGTCTGTTTTTAAAAAAATGACTCCTCTCCTTTTTTGGCAACACTTTAATTTCAATTTTCCATGTGACATATTTAAGGCCACAAGATTAAAGATCATTTTGGTATATTTGACATAACTTTAATTTAGAACCACAAGATTAAAAAAAAATCTTTCTTTTCTTAAACTTCGTTTCAAGTCAAACTAGGTCACTCTTTTTAAAATAGAGAGAGTAACATTTTTTTAAGACGGACAAAAAAATGAAAGGATGTCACATCAAAATAGGACAAAGGAAGTAATAAAGGATTGATTATCATGTGCAGTCTTGCAAAGGTATCTCCTAAATATTTTATTTAAAAATCACTTATACAATTAAGTACCTGATGTGACTACCTCACTTATCTCACCAAAATGGTATCGCTTGATTTGATATAGTATTTATGTTTTTTTTTTTTTGGTTTAGTGGTTTAAATTAATATTTTGATATTTGTATGATTATAAATTATTTTACATAGCATATGATAGAAAGTTTAAAGTTAAAGTTTCTAATTATAGTGTGGTGTAGACTTTGCACTTTTTCTTAGTAATAATGACTAGGTGTTCTTCATTGTCGTCTTCTTATTTTACTTGGATTTGATGCAATTGAGCTAACGGTCTTTCGAAAATAACCTCTCTATCTCCAAAAGATAGTGATAAGATTTGCGTACACTATAACCTCCCGAGACCTCAGTTAATGAGATTTCGCTAGATTTATTATTATTTTTGTTTCTAATTATAATAAGATATTATTCCTTTTTAGAAAGACTAAAATAATGATACACAAAATAAAATGGAGGAAGTACTTTGAAGGTAAATGAAGAAGTGTATATATATATATATTATTATTATTTTTTTATTTTTTTTTTAAAAGAAAAAAGTAATCAGAAAAAACAATAATATTTCCTAACAAAATAGTATACTCATGTATTTGACTACTAATAATGAGATTGAAAATTTTCGCATATCTTCAATTTAAAATGTTGAGAATTAATCATATTAATAATAAGAATGTACAATTTTGAAAAATCATAAATAAAATAAGAAAATGATTTAGTATAATAAATAAATAAATAAAAACACCCTAACGTGACCTTCGTGTATACCAGATTTTTTGTTTTTACACAACTTGATATTTTACAAAAGAATTTACACCAAGTACATTTGTATTTTTTAAAAGCTATATACCAATTTCAAATAATAAACTTAAACGGAAATGACCCACCACTAGTGACTTAAAAAATGTTTAGAGATTTTGATACCACTTTTAGTATTGTCTTTCACTTTTTGATCCAACGTAGGTCCGCTTGACTTAAAAACGGAACCCGCTTGACCTAACGTAGGTCCGCCCCTGAGACCAATCATGCGCAACCTGCTAGTGCAATGACATGGAGACTGATACCACCTTTAGCCATGTCCAATTTGCTAGTGTATGTATCATAAGGAGTATATTATATTTTTCAAATCTGTCCCACTATTGTATCAAGAAATGTTGATTATGTGCAATCCATTAGTGTATGGACATAAGGATTATATATCAAATTTTAGCATTGATTGACAATTTAAAAACCCGCAAAACTAATGTATGTAAGTTGTAGGGGAATCTATGTATTATTTTATGCAAGATAGCATGTAAACTAACAGTACATGTATAACTAATTTCTTTGTAACAAATAGTAAATTGTCAGTGATGGAGCAACTCAAACAACGTTTGCGACCCCTTAACCAATATACTAAACCTTCAACTTAGGTTAATATGTGTCAACACTTGAATAAATATTCATTAAATCAAATTTTGACCTATATATACAATGTAAATTTCCGACGAAGGGGTGTCGCTTGACTCCCCTTACCCTAGGGTAGCTCCGCCCCTATATAAATCTAATCAGCTATCAAAAGACTCACAAAAGCACTTGAAAATCAAGACTAGCTATAGGTTCATCAAAAAACAGAAAAGATAACTTTATAGCATCCACAACGTTATATATATGGGAAAATGCATAAGTACCCCCCAGCCTATGCCCAAAATCCCTGAGACACACCTAACCTTTACTAAGGTCCTATTATCCTCCCGAACTTATTTTTTAATTAATTTTCCTCCCCTTTTTGGCCTACGGGGCACCATCCTTGAAAAAATTGTCAACACGGGCTGGGCCCACAAGATAGTGCCACGTAGGCCGAAAAGGGGTAGAAAATTAAATTAAAAAATAAAGTTACGGGAGGATAATAGGACCTTAGTAAAGGTTAGGTGTGTCTCAGGAATTTTGGACATAGGCTGGGGGTACTTATGCATTTTCCCATATATATATATTATTTTTGACAAAGCTAACTTTTTTGGAAGTGGATTAATGTAATAATGTTGGACCTAGGCTACCACCTTTGTGATAACCCATTTCTTTTTGTGTGATGGCATTGCCTCACTTTATGTAATGCTATTACAGTATTACTCAATAAAAGAGGGAAAGCTAACAACGTTGCAATATTTAGGCTCACATTGCTATTCATAGCACATAAATGAAGTGTTGTATCTATAGACTACGTGGCATTTATCTCATTTCTAACCAACTTTTAACAAACTTTAAATTTTAACAAAATAGTGTAATTATTAAAGTTTACTAGTGAAATTAAAAATAAAGAGTCATTAGAAAGCTACACAAGTAGAGACTGTGACCACCAAGTGAATGTAAGGTTTTGCCCTGATTTTCTTATCATATTTTAAATTTTATTTTCTCCTTAAATGAAAGTCGAAGTATTACTATAAATACTTTTACTTATCCTGAAAAGAAAATATAATTTCCTTCCATAACTGGGTTATTCCTTCCTTAGAGGAAAAATTTGGAACTCTATAAATTGAAGATCTTTGTTCTCATGCTCTAAACACAATAGCCAAAATAGAGAGGCTTCACTCAAACGGGCATAACTTTTTACCCTGAGCTCGAAATTTAGCAAACTTGTCGGCGTTGGAAAGAAGACTCAAAGACCTTCAATTTTATAGCGCATGTGCCTCCTAACTCTCTATGTGTTAAAATATATGATCTTTTGAAGTTAACACAAAATTAAAAACTGATGCATGACTTGTACGAATTTCTTTTTAGTTCTTTTCGAAACATGAGGTGTTACACCAACCTTTCGATATCATGCCCAAAGTAGTCCCCAATATAATATTGAATGTGAGAAAGATATTATGTGCAAGGATATTTGACACTTGACAGTATTAATTTGTTCAAAATAGTCCCCATATAGGTGGGGCCAATCCAAATAGCAACGTGAAATATTTGTCATATAGGAGAGTAGTCACATCATATACTTGATTGTAAGAGTGATTTTAAACAAAAAAGAACTTTAAGAGATACCGTGTGGAGTGGACTCCGTTAAGATTGCGATATTTAAGGGAGTCATTTGGTAGTTGGATAAGAAATAGGTTCTTCATATATTAATTTTCGTATAACTTATATAAAGTTTAGTAGGTAGATAGGAAATGAGTTATTTATGTATAAAATTAATATGATATTTGGTTGACAATTTAAAAATCTGCATAACTAATACATATGTAAGTTATGAGGAAATCTATGTATTATTTTATGCAGATGGGAGATGAAATAGCTAATACATGCATAAAATAATACATAGATTTACTCATAACTTATATCTATAGAGAAAATGGCCAAATGAGCCCCCAATCTATTACCGGATTTCCAACTACACACTTATACTTTATGGGAGTCTTATTACCCCCCGGAACTATTTAAATTGAAATTATTATTTTTATTTTACCTTCATTAAACCAATTAGAAAGGAAAGTAAGACAAACGATTGAAACAGAGGTATGACATATATACATTGTACTCAAATTTTGTAGCACAACATTATGGACTTCCACTTCCACCACCTCACTTGATGGAAGAAATGTTCAAAATGGAACAAATTTTGCAGTGGTGGGATCAAGAGTAATGGATGCACAATTCTATGAGAAGAGAGGAATTTATGATATAGTAACAAATGTTTCTATGTGGGATCAATTGAATTGGTTTAAACAAATGCTTCCACATTTATGTCATAATTCTTCAGGTACCCTATTATATATATATTTTATATGTGTGTGTGTGTTTATGTGCTTAATTAATCAGAATAAATTATAATTTGAGTATCTAAATTAAGCGTATACATTGACAAGAAATTTACCTATTATATTTTGGTTGTTTTGGACAAGAATGGTCGGGCTCTAATGTGGGTACGAGATAATGAGTATGAATCTCTCTTTGCAGAAAAAAATATACTCTCTCCATTTAAAAAAGAATGGTCTAGTTTAACTTGACACAAAATTTAAGAAAATAAAAAGATTTTTCAATCTTATAGTCCTAAATTAAAATTATGTCAAATGTACCTAAAAGATCCTTTAATCTTGCAGTTTTAAATATGTCAAAGGGAAAGCTGAAATTAAAATGCTGCCAAAATTTCAACACTAGTCCCTCTTCAAAAATTTCAAATACTATTAGTAGATTTTATAAAAGTTTAGCTCATAAGTAACTTAATCCAACACTAGTCCCTCTTTATAATTAAATGTAATTTTTTTAACTTAATCCAACACTAGTCCCTCTTTATAATTAAATGTAAATTTTTTAACTTAATCCAACACTATTTCTTCTACCGGGTATACATATAACAACTGCATTGAAATTCGCCTAATTTAAATTGTTGGTTCTAGGGGTTTCCCACCGAGTTAAGGCATCGAGTGTTGGTCCACCTTGGAGCATGACAAATTAAAACTTGATATTTATCTATTTATTGAATGTAGGAGCTAGTGGAGCTTGGGGCAAAGACAATAATAGTGCCAAGTGTGTTACCACTTGGATGTACTTCATCCTATTTGACAAATTTTGAGAGCTTGAATGAAGAGGATTATGATGAATTAGGTTGTCTCATATGGCCAAATGAATTTGCTTCCTATCATAATGAACTTCTTCAAAAGGAATTACATCGACTTAGAGAGCTTCATCCTCATGTCAATATTATCTATGCTGATTATTACAATGCTTCTATGAAACTTTATCGAGCTCCTCGAAAATATGGTAAGTTTACTTTATAGTTGTTATAATCAGAGGCAGAGTCAAGACTTTCATTAAAGGTCGCGTTCAAAATATGAAGAAGTATATATATAAACCATGTATAAGAGGGTGTTTAGATTGACTTATTTTAATTTTCAAGTGTTTTTTAGTGTTTGGGAAAGTAAAAAATGTTTTTAAACACTTATTTTAAAGTAAAAAATAATAGAAAAATAAGCTAAAAGCTAAAACTTGGGTATGACCAACTTTATGACTTTTAGCTTATAAACTATTTTTGAAAAGTTAATCCAAACACCCTCTAAATAGTGTAATTTTCAGCTAAAGGGGGTTCGAATAAACCCCTCGTCCCTATTTGGCTCCACCCCTGAATGCCACTCAATGTTGTCGTGACAGGGTAAGTATTCTCCATTTTTAATCAAAGGTCCGATCCATGGTTTAAGCCCCGAAAATAAAAAACTACCTCTAGAAGGGAGTGTGCTACTCTATGAAAGAGGGACTTTCTGGTGAGAATTATGATTAATCGATCCTCAAAACATATGTTGAACATCAATGAAAAACAAATGAATGATAGTTCTAATACAGCTTTACACAATCAGTGCAATTTAATATTGGTGCGGTATGGAGATAAGTATTCTTGTATCCTTAGAAAATAAATTTTCTTTAGTAGGAAATATTTCATCCTCTAAAGTAAAACGTTCTGACATGGATCCAAGTTAGTTGACCCTCAAAGTGTATATCGAATATCAGATAAAAATAAAAATTGTGCAAACAAAGTTTTACACAACCAACAATTCAATTTGTTGTAGAAGGTTATTCACCTTATTTTTTTACAAGTTATAAAATTCATCACTAATTATAGACATTACTTTTGTTTGACATCATATGATAGAGTAAAAAATTAAATAAATTGTATAGAAGTCCGGCTACTTTTTTCCACGTACCGTTGGAAAATATATAGCAAGAACACAAATTTATAGGAAGAAGAACACTAAGATAAAGGTTTGATAATATGAAGAAGGCTTGAAATATGTGCGAAATGCTTTCCTAAAAATGATATTTGCTCTCTCTCATCGGCGAGATTGCTATGGGATATATGACAATTCTATGAATTTCTACACTAAGAAAATAGTGAAGAAATCCTATTGAAAAAAAGATATTTTTGATTAAAGAACTTGTGCTAACCAAAGAATGAAAGGACACACCTTTTCATTTAAAAGATTCTAACTAAAGAATAAAAAGACACACAACGACTTCTTCATTTAAATTACTTATTGTTAATAAAAGTACACACGTTAATGGAGACATGTGTGCTTTTACATATAATTTTATAACATGTGTTATATTTTGTAGGATTTTTGAAGGGTGTACTAATAGCATGTTGTGGAGGTGGAGGTCCTTATAATTTCAATATTTCTGCTCAATGTGGCACTTCTCAAGCAACAAGTTGTGAGGATCCTAACCAATATGTGAATTGGGATGGATATCACTTTACAGAGGCTGCTTATAGATGGATGACAAAAAGTTTATTGGAAGGCCCATTCACTTATCCTCCTATGAAGAATTTGTGTCTTTTTGATGTTATTGAGGCCCAAATTTCCCAAATTTAAAAGGCCCCAAAATAGATCCCTTTAAAACATAAATAAAAAAGAGAAAATTAGGCGGATAAACAAACATATGCTAGTTAATTAATAGTTAACATAGCTATAGTTTGAATTAATTATTATTCGCCACTTATTTATAGGCATAATTATGCGGCCACGTCTGAATTGTATAAGCGTGTAGTTTTCGTAATTTATATAATATAACTTGTATAACTTTTGTATAATGTAATTTGTGTAATATAATTTGTATAACTTTTTAAAGTTTAGATGTTTGTGTTTGTATAAATTCTATCGATTTTTTGAGTTTTATCATATTTGTATTATTCTGAAATTTGTATTACTCCGAAAAACAGATCCAATTTTAGATCTACCGTTGTACCCACATTTGTATAAATCTGTAAGTGTATATTCTAATTGTATATTTCTACATTTTACTTATACAAAATATATAAGTACAAAATTCTACCAACAAAATTATACATACAAAATATATAAGTACAAATTAGATGCTACTACTCACATAAAAAAAAATAGCTCTATATATGTGAGTTGTTTTGTTCCTTATAAAACTTTATCATTTCAATTGCCTATGTTCATTCTCTTATTCTATTTACAATAAAAAGTGGTAACAAAACCCTGGTATAAATGCAAACATTATATTCCTAAGTGATGGGAGCCTTAACCGTTACAAAAATGGCATACAAATTACAATACCCTTTTATTAACTTATGGATCATTAGTGGGATGTGATTAACATTCGAACAATTAAACTAATATTTGAGTTTGTCACATGTCCCTAACCTTGATTCATGACTATTAACGAAAGACATTTTTATATTATTTCACAAAGTATAGATTATGTAACACCCCGAAAATTTCTAACTTAAGATTCGAACCATTCTTCATTTACTTGTAGGGTCATATCGGGTGATTCATAAATTATCCATATGTGTAAAGGTAAATTCTTTTGTGTGGGGATGATTTGGATATGAATTAAGGTCACTAGAATCTCCTAGCACAAAGTAGAGTTGAAAGTTTCCTTATCGATTAGTTTTGATGTAATATTCTACTTGGGTAAACTTCAAACGACCATATCGCTTAGAATATAAAGAGTTACGTAGCCTATAACCTATCAAATTAAAGGTATTTGAATCTACTTTCCAACGCCACCAATTTCGCGTCAATCCAATTTTTGAGTAAAAAGTTATGATCATTTTAGTAACTGATATAGTGCAGTGACGAATTAGCTAATGGGAAAACATTAAAAAGGGTCTTTTTATTCTTTTACCTCCAAGAAAATCCTAAACGAATTTTTTGACTAATATAAGGCTCAAAACAATCAGATTTTCATCTTTTAATCCATCATTCTCTTCTCTCTCAAACCCTAGGGCAAAACCCTAAGAAAAAAAAAATCAAAGTAGAAGACTTCATTCAAGATTCCTTCAATCTTTTTCAAGATTTTTCTTCAAGGTAACTCTTTATCCAAGAATTCCATTCTTTTCAACTCAAATTCCTCCATACAATTATGAGTCACTAATGAAAATCATAATTCTTGGCCTTAGAGATTTGAAGAAACTAATTCAAGAATCTCAAGAAAGGTTCTCTTGATTGTTCTCCTTCAGGGTTTCAAGGCTTCTAATCAAGTTCTTCTTCAATATTCTTCAAGAATCTTGTTCTTCCAGGTATGTAAGACTATCATAGTGTTGGACTAGTTCGTCCTCACGCCCTACATCTACTTTCAAGTCAGTAAAAGAGAAATCTAGGATTCTACCCCTAGATTTGAGAATTTTTAAGATGAGTTGATTTTGAGTTCATATTTCTTTTTGAAATTCTATTCCTAATTATTGAATTGCTATATGGTATGCATTAAGATTCTTGAGTAGATTCGTTCATTTCTATAATTCAGCATGAATCCTATTTTGAGTTATCAATCTTGAGAAGCTTTTTAACGCCAACACTTGAGTTTTAAACTGAGTTTTTGAGGAAGTAAAGATGAGTTTTGAGAAAGAGTTGTATTCATGAGTTTCTGTATGGTTATTGAGGTCCTCGAGTTGAGTCGTTCATGCCCATAATTCTGCATGAACCCTACGAATTGAGTTATAAGTTTTGAGAGTCTCTGAAAGTCAATCATTGTGTTTCAAACTGAGTTTTGAGAAAAAGTTTAAAGGTTCTATTTCATAAAGTCTTAAGAGTTTCTAATGTTATTTTATTCATTCATATATATATACCTATGCTAATTATTGGACTTGAAAGATAAGTTCATAAATGCATGTTTTCAAGAAGGTAAACACTTCTCATGTTTTGAAAAGTATTTCAAGTAATGTAAGAAGTTCATTCTTAGTAATGGGTGAATTGAGCAAAAAGTTATATTAATTATTTTGGGAGTAGTATCGAGCATCGAGTTGGGTTAGAGTCTCTTATGATTCGAAAGTCCCACAGAACTGTGTAGCTGCCGTAAGATATGATATCATTGATTCTTCATGCGACTCCTCACCGCCTCTGAGAAGGCATATAGTTGGATCCATAGTCACGATATCATCCTATACCCCGGCAATATAAGATAGGCCCTTGCAATGTGCGGTGGGACGTTGTATCATTGCTAGGCTCATGGTAATGGTTGTCGGTTAGAGAAACTCCCCACAAGCAAAGTATATTATTTCCATATTGCTTTCATTGCATATTTTATTGTAAAGCTTAAATGTTTTTCACTTCATGTTCATGTATTGATTCAGTTGAGTTGCTTCCAGTCATTCAGTTTAGTTATTTGTTTACTCAGCCATATTACATACTCGTACATTCCATGTACTGATGTCATTCGACCTGCATCCTTTTATGATGCAGATATAGGTGTTCATGATTATCAACATGCACTTCGTTGAAATCACTCTACACTCCAGTTAGCTTTGGTGATCCTCTTTGTATTCCAGAGGACTTCACAGTTACTTTTCACTTAGTAGTTTTGAGGTGTCGTGGGTCTTGTCTCGACATCCTTTCTTAATAGTAGAGACTTCATAGATAGACAGTTTTGGAGAGTTTTTTCAGTTTCAGATATTTTATTTAAAACTTATGTTTCATACTCAATATATTCAGAGAGTTTTGAGATTCTGTAACACCCTAGAAAATTTTTGAGCTAAGACTCGAACCGTTCTTCATAGTGAGTGAGATTTTGCAAGGAATTTAAAATTTCTTGAGTATTAAGGTCACTAGATGTTGCACCTTGAGTTCCAAGAAGAACCTAAGAGAAAAGCATTCAAGTCATTCCTAGTTTTCTTGAGTTTTGGGTCAACTTCAAACGACCATAACTCCTAGTACATGATGAGTTAGGTGAGCTACTAGATATAAAATTAAAGCCCTTCGAGTACTCTTTATAACGCCACCAAGTTTGCTAAATTCCGACCTCTGAGTAAAAAGTTATGATTGATTTACTAACGTCGCGCAAACCTGGCAGCAGCTCCGCGACGCGGAGCCAATACGGACCTCACTGCCTGGTGAAAAATAATTCCGACTCCTAGCTCATTTTATTTATTTCTTTAAGGGTATTTTAGTCCTAAAAACCCTTAGGAGGTCATCTAAATTGCCCTAAACGAATAGAAAATCAGTTTTCGCAAATCAAAACCCTCTCATTCACTCCAGAGATTCTATGCTCAAGAAATTCAAGAAACGCTAAGGCTAGGGTTCATCTTTCAAGATTTTCCTTCCAGTCCTTCAAGAAGATGGTTCTTTCAGGTATGTAAGCTTCCATGGTGCTGGGTTTGTTCACCCACACGCCAATCATGTTATTTTCAGCGCAAATTTTGATTCTTGAAGTTGAAAGATTAGAGTTCTTGATGAGTTCTTGAAGTTCATTCTAAATCTTGTTGTGTTGGGGTTTTGATGATTTCTTGAGATGTAAGTGAGTGTTTGAGGGCTGTATTGAGTAGATTAGAGTGTACTTATGTTAAGTAATCGAATCCAAGTGATTGGGGAAGAAACCGTTCGATTCTAGGTGAATTGGGGTTAGAAAGAGAGGAAGAAAAAGTCAGACAAGGAACAGGTACCAAGTCCGCGGACTTGTCCTTCAGGGTGAAAAATTTCTCTCCGCATCGCGGAGAGGTCACGGACTCCACTGTTTCAAAAATTATTTCGAGCAAACATTTTAAATCATCTCCGCGTCGCAGATTTGCTCCCTAGACAATATTTTTCAATTGTTTCTCATGTTTAGCTATCTAAAATCATTCCTAAATATCATGAGACCTTTCCTATCACAAATCACAACCTTGAATTCATAAATCACATTCAAGGTAGAGTTGAGAGTCAAGTCTTGAGAGTTCTTTCGAACATTTTCAGAAAATCCCTTTTTGTCTTTTTTAGGAGTCTTCTACAAATTCTAATAACTTGTTTCAAGACTCGAGCAAGTGAGTATGAGAGTGAGAATAATGTATTCATGAGTCTACCTTTTCATCATGAGATCTTTCTTATCATGAACTATAACTCTTGATTCATAATCAAATTCAAGAGAGAGAGTTAAGAGCCGAGTCCAAGAAAGTCTTTGAGTTCAATTGTGAATCCTTTGAGATCAACTATTGAATTGAACTAAGTTTTGAGGAAGTAAGTCAGAGAATAAGAAAGAGTCGCATATATGAGTTCCATATAGTTATGTAGACCATCGAGTCGAGTTGTTTCATGCCCATAATTCTGCATGAACTTCGTAAGTTGAGCATCCTTCAGAGAAGTGGTATCTTCAAGTTCTAAGCTTTTAAGTGTTGAGTTCCTAAACCCTTTTGAGAAGTATCTTTGAGTCCTTGAGTTGAGTAGTTCGTGCTTATAATTCCGCATGAACCCTCTGAGTTGAGCATTCTTGAAATGAGTAGTATTATTGAAGTTCTTGAGTTCTATCTATGGTTATTGAAAACCTTGCATTGAGTCTTTCATGCCCATCATTCTGCATTAACCATATTTTAAGAAGTCTTTTACAAATGTTTAAACTTTGTTTTAAGACTTAAGTTTTGTGTTCAGTAAAGAGTAAAGTTGAAGTTCATTTCTTCAAAAGTATATGGGGACTATGTATTCCCAAAAGAGTTTAAAATGTTTTCACATTTAAGATGAGAGGAAACTGAGATTTTCAAAAGAGTTTTGAACAGCAAAAATGGAACATTGATTTCAAGAGAGC